GATTCCAAAAATAATATTATATACAGAGTGTTCCATTTGAAAAATCAAAGTTGCTACTGCTTTCTAATAGAAGCGGCAACACCGCATTTTCGAAAATATTTTAGTTGGCTAGAGAATGTCCGAATATGCCCTCCATTAAATTTTCAAAGTGATCCGTTGTCTGGTTCACCAGAAACGTCTAATGTGCCATCCACCGTGAATCAGCCTGTATATGATCTGAAAACTAAATTGAAAATATCGTATTCAACAATTCGTTATTATCATTATATTGGATGGATTATTTTTGAGTGCTGGCACTAACCTCAAAAATATTACTATATCGTTTTGTCCGTTAATCTCCGTGTTTATAAAAATATTATTTCATATTTTTCAGGTTTAATTTTTTAACGACAATTTTTTTTCTATATTTCATATGGTTGAGATAAAAATCTATATTTTTCTACCAAGCGAAAAATATTATGTTGTTTCAAAAATGTGGACCGTTTCAAAGTCATGTGTTTTTCTAGCTCCATTTCTCAATAAATATTTATTCTACTATACCGTGGTAGCAATTTTTTTCCGAAGCTTTTAGCTGAAATTTTAACAGAAATTATCACGATTCGAGATCTGTTCTTCTTTGTTTTTGCGCAACCGAAACGATCCTTTCTTGGATCAGATCGTCACGTGTGATGAAAAGTGGATCCTTTACGACAACAGAAGACTTCAGGACAGTGGCTGGACACCGATTAGCCACCCAGGCACTTCCCAAAAGCGAAAACCCATCAAAAAAGGATCATGTTCACTGTATGGTGGTCAGCAACCGATATGATTCACTACAACTTTCTGCATTCGGTCCAGACCATCAGAGGAAATCAACGATATATACCAAAAATTGCGTCAGCAGCAGCTGGCGCTAGTCCGATCCTGCTCCACGACAACGCACGTCCGCACTGTTCACAAATCACTGTCCGAAAATAAAACGATTGAGCATCGAAGTTCAACCTCACTTACCATACTCCCCAGAATTCTCGCCAACCGACTACCATATTTGAAGCACCATACAAAAACGGCCTTCGTCGATTTCATCGAAGTTTTCACTGTTTTTACAGTTCAAAGTAGACTCATAAAAACGAACAAAACTTTTGAAACAACCTAATACTAGTTTATACAATACATTAGGTGTCACATATTGAACTTCCATTGCCATTCAAACTGTGTGTGTTCCAAATTAGCATATAACCGTTTATAAAAAATCATTTCGTCGTAAATGGATGGTTCGTAATTCAACAGATGTTGGAATTTTACCCAACTTTTTATTGTAATTGGTGAGATATTTGAATACCAATTTGTGAATTAATTGGGTAATAAATAGTCTGTAAATTTGTTGGTTCTCATAGAACTAGTTCTCTTATAAATAAATGTGACAGGTTGAATTTGGTCAAATGGCCACATCTGAATAAACAAACGGTCCCAATCAAACATGAAAAAGTTTGAATTATGAGATAAAAACTTTCTCAAAGGTTATATGCATATTGTGCAGAGACGTACTGGTGTCAAGTTTCTTGAAATGCTGAATTCATTGCATTTGCAAATTTACAAATCCCATAACTAATCAAGAGAACAACTTTTCTGTAGTTTTTGAGTTTTCAGTTTCACCCAAACAGACAGACAACTATTGAACGTCGCTTCATCAGTAGAAATGAATCACTAATCAAGAAAAATAGTTCAACAATTCTCGAACAAAAAATAAAATTCAAATGATATTCTTCTTTCTTCTTCGTTTAGGTTAACATCACAAATCTTCATTCGAAAAAACGAAAGCAATTAGTAGTCAAAAAAGTTAGTCCAAAAGTTTTCGATACAGAGCACTAAAAGGACATCTGCAAACCAAGTGTCCTGCATTTTCAGATCTGTCAATTTTATTGAAATAGCGCAGATAGATTTAATTCCGTGAAAAAATATCCCTATTCACTCAATACAAGTAAATTTTCGGGCTTTTTAAAGCCTGGTTTGCTCATAAATTACAACTTCACAAAGTGAAATCTGCTAGCCGATGTTCAATTAGAACGAAAGTTGGGAGTGAATAATGTCTTTTCAGTGATCACTATTGAATTTTTTTCGGCAAATAGTACCAGATCATTATTTTACAGTTGATATTTCACAGTATCAGAATTATTAGTTACGTGCATAAGAAAGTCAGTTACCTCAAGCCTGACAACTAAACTGTTCTTCAATGGAACTCTTTCCAAAATCCTTTGATTAAAAAAAAATCTCTCAAACGAAGCTGGACGTTTGTGTCACAAATAGTGTCAACAGTTTTGTTTGTTTGAGGTCAGACAAAAGTTGGAGTCATCTGAGAAAACGGTGTCACCAACGAAAAGTGGAAAGTTATACCAGTTCATAGTTTCTCTGATCAGAGAACTTGAACCTGGAATAAACCCCTTCGTTCCTATAAATTTCCAGGAAGAGATTGATTTTGTCAATCAATCTCTGGAGGCGGTGGTGGGCATATGAAGAAAAATTATTCATTGGTAACCATTCATTAAATAAAAAATACCTGTTGGTCATACAAATTGATAACAAACAAATCATGATCCATGATGTCGTTTGTGTTTTTAACCCACCAAAATCCGAAAAATAATCAAATCTAGATAACGAATGACAAACAGAAAAGTTCACCTGAAGGGTTACTGCTCAATATAAATCGTATAATCAAAAGGTCGCAATCATTCATTCCATTTGCAGACGAAATTAATGATACAACAAGTTACTGACTGATTATATTCTTCAAATATTTATATTATGCAGTAGATTTTTGGGGCATACCCTTCAGTTTACCTTTTATGTTTTTTTCAAAGGCAAATTATATTTTTCAAATAATAGTTTTGCATCTTGGCAAATTGGCACGCTCCTTCAAAAACAAAACTCGTTTTAAACTTCGTTGAGAAGTATGCGAGAATAGATACGGAGCACGTCTGAAATTTAAAGTTGATAACAGTAAAGTATTCAATAACTTACTCACCAGCCAAAAGATGAAATGTATATAATGTGAAAATTGTCCCTTCTCAAAAAAGTTTCACCGCCGTCTATGATCCAGAAATATAATAACATAACCCAGAAATAACCCATGTCTTTTGTTTTCAGGCACAATGGTTTTCAGGATAGAGAGAAAAGGAATCCAGTCATTAATTGCAATTATCACTTTGACACTGATTGGGGATATAACCGCATGTGAAAGAACTCTACTAAGTGAGTATTAATTTTGATAAATGGATTTCGAAACTATTTCTCGGGTTGAATTGAATCACAGAGGGCTGTTCTTCACGGAAGTTCCTTGTAAAAAGTAATGATATTATTAATTGGGGCTTTAGACAGGTGTACGCCTTTTATTCAGGTATTCAGTAGTAGTGATCCCGAAGAATTTCGTTTTATTTTCAATGGATCAAATATTAGTAATAATAATAGCGTTTATTGCCCAACAGTTTCCTATTTACAGTTAATACTATTTGAAGTAAGATAAAAAAAAAGAGAAAAACATAACTAATAGAATATCAATTAATAGGAATAATTGTAAATGGGATTCCATATTATGGATCCATATTCTAGTTTTGGCCTCACCAAACTGATATACAGAGAGGTGAGCGTTAATATATTATGGAAATTATTACAGTTCCTTATAATAAAACCGCAAGTGCAGTAAGCCGAGTTTATAATGTGATCAATGTGGTAATTGAAAGTCAGATGATGATGAAAATAGAGTCACAAATCCCCAATATTATCTGTTATCTCCAATATAATATTATCAATGTGATAAAGAAATTGCAGTGCATTGAATTTTTCGCATAATGTCACAATTTTGCATTCGGAAGCGGTTCTTAAGACACCAATTTTGTAATAAATCAATCTGCTTTTACAAAATGGTGCAATTATCTGAACTGTTTATAGATGTGTAAAGTGTTGAATCATCAGAAAACATCAATCTATTGCAGGTTAACGAGTTGCAAAGATCGTTAATAAATAATGAAAACAATAAGGGGCCAAGATTAGATCCTTGAGGGACTCCATTAGTGGCCAAGTACACATTTGAGGAGAAGCCATGATAGTTTACATATTGAATGCGTCCACTAAGATTCCAAAAGCTGACAGTAACTTTTATTGAAACCCATGCAATAAAGTTCATGAATGAGTAACTTATGGCTGATCCTGTCGAATGTTTCAGAGAAGTCTGTCTACAATACATCAACTTGCCCTCTACGGTCTACCGATTCGCACAAATATTGATAAAAAACAGCTAGATTATTCGTAATGGTGGATCTAGAATGCATAAAACCATGTTGATGATCAGATATTATATGTCGAGAGGACTGGTAGATACTGTTGTACAAGATTGTTTGTAAAAGTTTGGCAAAGTTGTTGAGAAATGAGATGAGTCTGTGATTACTGATTTCATTTTAATCCTGAGCTTTGTGTATTGGACAAACTTTGGTAGTTTTCCAGACTTATGATGCACTGTTTGGAACCTTTGGTGTAGTAATGAATATTACTGGAGTTTTCCAGACTTCAAGAAAAACAGACGTTTTTAAAATAAGGTTAAAAAGAATTTGTAGGGGATGAACTGATACTAGGTGAGAGGGAATCAAGAGAACTTTGTTGTTTTTGAGTTTTTATGACTGTGAACTCTGTCTCCAATAGAAATATCCACTCACCATGGCAACGTCAAAAAGAGTGTACTCATATGTTTTCTGATAGAGTAGAAACGATTTGAAATCCTATACGAAATTCAAAAAACTAGATAACTATAACTGAACCGATTTCGGGAACACCGGGTGCCAAGTTCGTGAACTTGCCACCCAGCTGCACTTCCTATATAAACCAAGCGAGACGTTGACAACGTTGACAACAACTCAAACCATGAAGAAAGCGAAGAAAGCATCAAAAGCTCTCTGGAATTCGTTTATCTTCAACCAACATGTGCTGGTTCCGAACGGCTGATACGTGTGGAAGATTTCGATAACAGTAGTAGTAGAAAAATTGAAAAACAGAACCATGTGGTTTGCTATTAAATGTACGGAAAACAGAGTAGAGAAATTGAGGTGGCTCAAGTGGTATGCCAACAACTTACAGAAATAGTTGATAAGAAAAACATAATCAAGTGATGTGCAGACACAGATCTTGAAGAAGAAAGGAGAAAGAAGATGAGAGAGTACAACTGAAATGCCGATAAAAATCCTGAAAAATAGAAGTAGAAAAAATAGTCCATGTGGTATAGCGACAAAGGGACCAAAGAAGGAGTAGACAAACATAGCAGGATCAATTGGAAGGATGAAGTGAAACGTAAAACAAAGGTTCAGAAGATAAAAATACTTTTTTCATTCACCAATGATAGAACATCTTGTTTCGACGAGTATTACGCTAACCAAGTCAGCACCCTTAGATAATGAATAAGTTTCTGTGTTTTGATTAGATTCATTCCACATCAGAGGTTCCAATCATATCTATCAAACTTTCCTACTACACTCAAAATAAAATTGCGAACGAGACTGATTCCGGAGAAACAGCTTTCAACTACATTTTAGCTGATTTGACTAGTTTATGAGGTGGGGAAGTCCCTCATTCAGGGAAAGAATACCCTAACAGACTACTAGAGATCCACAAAGCTTTTCAATTAAAAATCTTTGATTTTCACGTCTCGAGATGGCATTAATTCTATATATTTTTATCAAGAACGTATACATGTGACTCCCTAATATTGCAAAAAATGAATATCAACATATCGTAATAATGTTATTGATAAGGAACTTCAAAGCCTTTTGGATTGGTTGATTGACCCGTCAAAACTCGAGTGATAAACTTCCCAAAAAAATCCACGGATGTAAGTTCTTCAAGAAGTTAGACATCAAACGAGAATACGTGGATATGAAGAAATTCAGACTTTCGCTGCCACATTTTTAATTCATGCATACCTACGGATTGCAAAGAACACAAAACTGAGTGTTGATAACAAAGCCAATAAAAACAAAGACAAACTGCCCCCAGAGCATATACATGCGGGTTGTTTTTGTAATGCTGTGTAATTTTGCGGTTTTCTGGGTGGAACCACAACAATTTCCGACTTTTTTTCGATAACAGAAAACATTTGAACTTTTCGGTACCAAGTTTTGCACATATTAATTAGTGTCTATGCCAAACTGAGTATCAGTCATTCCCAACATCCCGCGTTTTCCTTAATTTCTGAAACATTTCATCTCCCATGTTTTTGCATATGTCCTTGGACATCACTCTCATCTCGTCTACCATTCATTATCAATATTTCATTTCTGGCGGCATATTATACTTGAAAAATGGAAGACAAATCACTCACTTGTCTATTTCCAATCGAAAGTCATTAATTATGTTCCATAGCAATCAACATTTTGTTTTAATAATAATTTCATTTTCACTGCTTGATATCGGAATTCAATTCAATGTATAATAAATAAATTGCCTTGAAAAAACGACAATGTGTGAAAGCTCCCGTGAAGTTGATGAGTTCTTGATTAGTATCCTAATTTGGTCTTGCAATGCTATCATCACTTAGTGGGTGCATGAAAAAATTGTGTTCGAACCATGAATATTTATGAAAATCATACAAGTTAATTCTACTAATGATTTGAAATTAGACAATAGAGTAAAGTTGATTGTCATTCTGAAACGGCTTCAATCATTTTCCATCTTAAAAAAAATATTCAATTCATAATTGTATTCCAAACAATAGTCTCATTCATTAAATTATGCATGCGGTTGGTGAAACTAGCATGATTGAACAAAAACTAACAAATTTCGTATTGCTATAATAATAATAATAATAACTCCATTCATACAACATAATAATAATAGTAATAGTTCAATAAAGAAAATGACAATAAGTGCAAAAGCACTTGCTTCGTATAACAGGAAAAATACAATTTCCAGAATTCATCAAAACACAAATAAGTATAGTATATAAATTCCGGGTGTTCATCCGTTGTGTACTATTCGATAGTCGACGTTTCGCCATCATCTCAGATGGCATTATCAAGACGAGTTACTGCTTCGCTTCGAGAGGTGTTACACCTCTCGAATTTTTTTTTAACAAGTGAATTATTCGGAAAGTACGAATCTCCTCAGGAATAGTATTATAGAGTTTCGGAGCCAGGTAAGTATAAGAGTGTAGGAAAAATGATTTTTGTGTCTGGGGAATAACAATATTTTTTTCTGCGGGGTATGTGCAAGTGAGTCGGTAGAGCGAAATTTCTGTTCTCATGATAATGGATGATAATATGGCGAATAATAAGGCGGTTTGGACAATATTAATTTCAGGAACCTGTTTTCGAGCACCTCAAGTGCATGGTACAAAATTTTGAGGTTAAAATTCAAATTTGAATTTTTACCAAAAATTTATATTTGAAAAGTATGCAACGCAACTTATTACAAATATACTGAATATGAACATCCCATTTGAGATGTGAATCTATTATTACTAAGTATTTCACTTTAGCTTCGGGAAGTATTACATATTGATCAATTTTCAGTTGTGAAAAACTAGGTTTGCTGGAATTATCACAACTGAAAGGTATATAGTGAGTTTCCTCCAGATTCACTGTCAATAATCGATGCTCGAGCCAATTTTCAATCAAAGCCAGATCCGATTCAAATACATGTTCCAGTTACTCCCAGCTATTTGCCTTGTACAAAATGGCTGTATTATCTGCAAAGTCCAATATTTTACCCCTGCTCCTGATTGAATATAGTCCATTAACATATGTGTTGAATTGGCCCCAGAACTGTGCCTTGGAGGACTCCTATAACAGTTTCTTGTGTATCACTCAAAATTTCGTCAATTTTTACACACTAAAGTCTATAGCTCTTGAACAAGTTCCGAGCATCACCTCTTATACCAATATCTTATAGTGTTTTCAGTGAAAGGTTGTAGTCAACTGCGTCGAATGCTTTCGACAAGTCAATGAAAACGCATAGGCACGGTTTATTCTCATTTAAAGCAGATGATATTTCTGAAGTAAAAGCTAAGATTGCGTCTTGGATAAATAATTGTTCGCGAAAATTGACGGTCAGATATAATATTATATTTTGAGATATACGATTTTATGATCTTTTCCAATACTTTATTCATGTGTGTAGTGAGTGATATGGGTCGGTAGTTGATAATGTCTGTCTCATCGCCTTTTTTAAACAATGGAATTATTATGTTTTTTTTCAAGGATGTTAGCCAGAAATCATTTTCCATACATTTGTTAAAAATGAATGCCAGTGGCTTTTCTCAATGAGAACAGATGGATTTCAGTGTTTCAAAACAGATTCCGTTGATTCCAGTGAACTTATTTGTTTTCAGCTCTTCGATAACCTCTTTTATCTCATTTCTATCAGTGGGGAGAAGAACAAAATAATTTGGAACAGTTTCAAAGACATATGAAAAGGTGGAAGTATTATTTATCTTGTCTGCCATTTGTTTGCCTAAGGTGGAATATATATAATTGAATTCATTAGCGATTGCTTGTTTTTCTGTAACAGTATTACCTTCTTCGTTTTTTATTCGAGTAATTGGACGTTTCTTTTTTTTACGTATTGCTCACTTCTTTGATTACTTCCCATTAGCATTTAGAGTCTGATGAGTTTATTTTAATTTTTTTCTGGTAGTGATTACATTTTGCTCTTCTTATTAGATTTGTGCGTTTATTCTGATATATTCTGAGATCATTTCTCAGCAACTATTCATCTATCGGATTCAGTCGTACTCGTTTCAGTCACTCATTTTTTGTGCTGACTGATTTCTCCCAACCATTCGTTACCCAAGGTGTGATCTTCGTGTTTTTTCTTTTTGGTCTTATTTGAACAGTGCATTGCTTCATGACGTTGGTGATGATATTCAGTAAAGTGTTCATCACATAGTCAGGAGAAGTTGCATTGAAGATATCATCCCAGGTTATATTATTCACCTGTTTCTTTAATTCGGAATGATTGGTACGATTTTTATTTTTTGATTGTTTTCTTTATCACTTTGAGGGATATCAAAACTTTAGTTGCAGTGCCATCGAAAAATGATTGGTAATATCTGTTGTTGAGTTGTTGTTGAGTTGAGGAACTGTTTTATTAAAGATATGATCGATACAAGATCTGATATGTTTCGAATCATTTTGACTCTTTTGGTATCTTCATTTGAATTAAACTCTAACTCTAAACAATAATTTGTTTTACAGTTATAGGTAGGCATTCCTCCGAAAATTCAATGTAATTGATTCAATTGATCCATTCAACTCAAAAACTTCATTTATAACATCAATCATGTATAGTATCATAGATCAATCCTTGGTGACAAAATACTTGTCGTCAAAGATCAACCGAAAAAATTGGCTTCGGAACAAACGGCTTATTATGATGCAGGAAATGAATTATTAGTGAAAAAAAATATTCAAAAACGAACTTTCATTGACATGCCCTCAAAAAAAGGAACTTCAAGTAAATGAATAGAACTGACCGATACTTGTATCACTATTATATAGCGAAACACGTGTCGCGGTTTTTGTAAAACCGCGTTAATAGTGAAAATCATACAATAAACTGTATTAATCAGTTTCACTCCAAATAAAATGAGACCCATCGATTCAATACAATACCTAAATTATATGATATAGAAGCTTATCGCGAGATTTATCTATGCAGACAAATAAGAACGTGATGTAATTTGATTTTGATATACGAGTATTATTGAGGTATCAATTATTTGGGTTTCATTCGAATATTTGGCATCTGGAAGTATTAAGGATTAATTTGACAAAAGATTCAAAAATAAACTCGATGAATATTCAATCCCATTGAAAAAAATCCAAATGATTTTATAGACAAATAACGTTACCTTTCAAACGTCACTCTATTTGAAAATTTTCGTAGAAGATATTCATTACTTTAAAGAGATCCAACCTCATTTATTGCCATCTTCCACCTTAGTAATATTGTTTATATTTCAATGGAAAAGAATATTATCATTAGCTCAAATGGATTAGAAAATCTTTTTGTATGAAAGCACCCCGAGTAGCACACGACTTCTCATGGATAATATGGTCATATTTCAACGAATTCACAGAAACCATTGATGATTTACATACAGAAATTACTCCGACCATTGGCGAAAACCGTTCGGTAGTTTTTGAGTTTATCGCGTTCAGACAGACAAACCGTGACACTGCCGCGGCGAGAAAACCTTGTCTTTAATATGTAGTGATGCATTTATTTTGAAACTCATTGAATTTTGATGTTGTTGCAGGAACTAGAAGGATATCCAGTTTCGATAAGGAGCTAATATTAGATTTGCACAATGCCATGAGACAATCCATCGCCCTTGGTCAAATTGGGGGGCAACCCCCTGCGTCCAATATGATGGAAATGGTAAGTTGAAAGGAAAAAGTTTATATTCATTTATTACATTTATTTATAATAGTGTGAATCTAAATTGAAGTATAATTTCAATTCAAACGTGAAAATGTAGTTTTAAAAGGGTTTTGTTGGATGTGCTATGAGTGTTGGGTACTTTTGAATTGTGGTCAATGACAATGATTTCACTGCAAACTCAGTAAATATTCTCGGAATGTAAAAATTTCGAGTTTCGACTCACTCTGTATGATCCGTTACGAAAAATCTGTTTTTCCGTTAACCAGTTATCGCCCCATACAAGCTTGAGTGAGGTAAGGGTTGATAAGGTCTTACCTTTTAACGTACGAATGTGTATATTAATTCGAAAACTTTCGAGAGGTATATTCTTATATGAGAATAATTTTTGGGAAATGAAGGTTTTGACTTTCTACTTGTCCACCATTAAACCAAAAAAGTGGAAAACTCACAAATGAAGCAAGAAAGCAATGAATTTCAAATTTAACTTTTCACAAAGATATGTAGATCATGCAAACTGAAAGAAAAAGTTTTCTCGATACAATTACTTTCATATAAATAGTGACTCACGCGGTAACAAAAGTATACTTTCGCATTGAATTATACAAACTCCCTTCTTCCTTTTCGAATATTATTCACGGGATTGCTGAAGAGGCAATAAGACAAGTGTCTCATTTCGAAACATTGATGTCCGCCATTGAGGATGACAGTGTTCATTGTGAGTGAAATTTTACCTCTTTCATATGCTGTATTGTGAAGCAATCCTGTGAACGGTATCTAATTCAATTTCAAAAACTGTTTACATATATTCAGTGGGCATACTTGAAGACTGGCTATAAATCAAATCATCTGAAAGAACAATTCGTTCAGTCTAGTCTTAACTCCCTACAATGTAGGTTAATAGACTGACACCTATCAGAAAACAACTACTCACCTGGCTAATACTACGAAGGGCGATGAATTATATCCGACAGTGCAGGATTCTTCACTGAAGTTATTCCTGCATATGCTATTGGCGATATAACTGCAACAATAGATTTTCAATTATTCGAACACACTTACATATCGGTTTCGGGCTGTTTGGTCACTCGTCAGTGCAAGGTAGTGTCTATCATCAACATAAAGTCGATGATTTTTGATAACTGAAAATAGAATTCCTTCCTCGAACTAGACTGAAGCGGACAACAAACAACATGATTTGTCATCGCATCATCTGCCTGTGAACGAGGTAACCAACCGCATATCCGACTCTATGTGAAAATTTGTTCTTCTCATATGAGGAATTGGGCAAATCTGGGATATGTGGTTGGTTACCTCGTTCACAGGCAGATGGAGCGATGACAAACCTGTTGTTTATTGTCCGCTTCAGCCTAGTCCGAAGAATGATACTCTGACGGAATTCGATTTTCAATTATGGGAAGTCATCGACATTGTGTGCTTGATAGACACTACCTTGCGCTGACGAGTGGCCGAACAGCCAGAAACCGGTCTGCAAATGTGTTTCAATAATTGAAAATCTATTGCGACAGTTGTTTTGCTAACATCATATGCAGGAATAACTTCAGTGAAGAATCCTGCACGGACACCTGTCGGATATAATCCAACGCCCTTAGTGATATTAGCCAGGGGAGTAGTTGTTTTTTGATAGGTGTCAGTCCATTAACCTACAGTGTAGGAAGTTGAGACTAACCTGAACGAATTGTTCTTTTAGATGATTCAATTTCAAAAAGTTTATTTTTAAATCAATTGACCCCTTCATTTGGAGATTCCCCACATTTTTTGTTCAATGATGCTGAAGTAGAAAGCCACGATCGTACTTTCCAATTTGAAAACGTTTCACCGTGAACATGTTGTATTCTGGATTCACTTCAATTACTTCAACACTCTTGCGAACTGAATACATTTTCAATAGAGTCAAAAATTGAATAGTTCATAGGTTAGTGTGGCGTTTAGCACCAGTCAAGTCGTACCAATCCGCCATGTGGAACGGAACCCTTCATATGAACACTTTTCATCTTTCCGGTGACGGTTGCCATCACTAGGTTTTCCTGGGATGGCGCCGGAAGATGATCCCTATAATGGCTTACACTGCTCATGACTCAATAAGGTAGCTGAGGAACTCACCCGAAACGTTGGTTTGTCCATTCAGTGGGACCGATATAACATGATCACATTTCCCATCCATGATCCCAAATTCATATGTTTGGTCTTCTCGTCCACTAAAACGGTGGTATAGTCGAAGTAACCTTTATTGTGAATTCTTAAAGCTATTGGCATCTCAAAGGCCAAAAAAAACAATACAGAGAAATGATGCCGCTGTAAACTAGTCCACGTGGACTGACGACTTGGCGGTTCGTTTTGGATATTTCTTACTAACCAAGTTTAATGATTGGCTGAAGAGTCATAAAATTAAATTTGAAGTCATATTACTGTGACGAATAGAATGTGGGTATGAGTATCGCCGTTGTGTCGTCAATGTTCAGTTCAGGAACTGATCGCGATTTGAGTGTTGAAATTCAGTATTGGTGTAGTGACAAAACTATTCAGAATTGCATAAAAAAACTAGGATTTAGATTTAAAATGGTAAACAAACGTCAAGCAGTTATGGAAAGCAGAAGAATGGTGGAATTGCATAACATAGACTTAGAACAAATAACTAAATATAGACAAGAACAACGGCAAATTCTCTATTTGGACGAAACTTGGTATGACACTTACAACACAGTTACGAAAGGGTGGACTGATGGTTCGAGAATGTGTACGCCTAACATGTCTGCAAACAAAGGATCACGACTAATCATTATGCTTTGCAGACCAAAACATCTGAAAAAGTGTATGCCCTTGAGAGTATTGCTGAAAAGTATGGACACACCATACTGAGACTTCCCCCTTCTATTTTTGTGTTTTCAAGCCCATCGAGTTGATTTGGGGAAAATTGAAACAAAGCATCACGCATAAAAATAATTTTCGAAAATTTGATAAGAAGGTAATAGAGCTAGTAAAAGAAGAAGTATATAATATTACCGAAGAAGACTGGCAGAAAAATCTTAAAAAAGCAATTTTACTTAGAAAAGACTGGACACTTCCATATCAATAGTGGAAATGAATTCATTATTGATTTAAATGACGACAGTGATAGTGAAACAGAGAAAACGGAAGAGACATTATGAGAAGCTTTCGAAGAAAGTTAGTTAATTGTTTTTGAAGCAATCGATTGTATATATATATATATATATATATATATATATATGTGAATAAGTAGTATTCAGAAGTATTTTCAATCGTCACTCTGTTATTCAAATCCCTACTTTCTCACTCATCTATATAAAGAAAATAACTATATTATTAAAGGGAAACTGTGGAAGGTAGGTTGAACTATCTCGTTTACTTGAACTATACTGTTTCAAAAAATTGCAAATTTTGGTTTGTGATGATAACTCGTAAGAGAACCCCAGCAAAATGATACAGCTCTAGAGTTTTACTTCTATTCTATATTCAAGATTACCAAGTTGATTCGGACACTTCGTGTTGTTTAGATTTTTCAGGTTTTCATGCAGTATTTTAGATTTTTTCAACTTTTATTGATAAATTAAAGAGAACATTGCCTTCAACTGCCTTTACATGGGCTTACAGGGCTTTACATGACCACATTCATAACAACTATATCAAATATCAAAAACGTGTCCAAATTGTTTTTTCTAACTAGCTTTTACATCAACCTAGTAGGAATAAAATCATTCTTATTTTTCCTTCTTTATTTTAGGAACAAAAAAAATTATTACATACTATCATATACGACCCTGTATAAATAATTGACATGTACCATCTAGTTCGTTATTTGTATTGTCCAAATGTATGTATGAAAAATGTATTATCATCACTGCCACAACATGCTATAACTCTAGGAAAAATTTGCCCAAAGAGCTACAAAATCGCATTCCAATTTAAATTCAAAGGTATTACAGTTTAATTTTTTGCCAATTTGTTCATTAATGCCAGAGTTAAATAGTTACCTAAGGAGGGTGATTCATGCCATTGCGTTTACTATCGGAGCCGATAGAACAGATCCAGAGAACTCTCAAAACACTTGATTTTCGAGCAAGGTTCAGGTTTTGAAAACAAAGCTAAATTTTTTCTTTATATCATTAACAATTTGAAGAAAATTTTCAACAGCAATCATCTATTGGAATCCCTATCGTTTTTTGAATTCCAACATCAACGAATATTATTTTTAACATTAAGCAGCAAGAGTTATGAAAAAACTCACCTATTGACGGAGGGGTCATCAGTGAAATAGAGTTTCACTGAGTAAAAAACTGACAGTCGTGAAATTAACATCTGAACTCTCTCCATCCAACAAACAAAGTAACCCAAACAAAGATAGATGCGTGATCAGAGCATGATCACCACGCACATTTGCATCTATTGGATAAAATGAGCAAGCCTTCTTACGCTGGCCAGTCATATTCAACTGCAATGGACTGGTGGAATTTATGTTACAGGGGTCAGTTACTTTTCAACGCCTGTGACGTATACAAATACGGTATTTTAAAGTTTGAAATTGTTTAAATGTCAAGTATTGAAGGCTGTGACTCAATATTGAAACTTTGCATGAATGCTTCTACAGAAATACACATGATTAATTTGATATAATACTCAGGACAGTGACTAGATCCTACAATGTACTAGACCTGTACAATGAAAAGATACAAAACACCAAAATGAAAAACCAATTGACACTTCTTTCACTCACATAACCTCACGAAAATAAGACAAGAATCCTTCAATTCAAACTAAACCTTGAATACAACAATTCATATATGACGTTAAGAAATCTCAATATCTTCATCGAAACTTATTGGTATAAGACATTTTTAATTTGTATCAAAACATTATTCGTGTAATAAACTTAATTCAATTCGGGAATTTATATTTTGGTTTTATATCGATCCATTCAGTTGAGAATATTTCAAGAATTAACCTTCACGAATACCGCTCGA